GAATTAAGCCTGAATGCCTTCCACATCCCCCCCCCCCCAGGCGCTGTATAATCTTCCGGGTTTAGCGCTTCCCCCTTGATTATAATAATAATAATAATCGTTTATAACCTAAGACTGCCTCGTCCGATTGGCATCACATTTTCAGTGCTTGTTCTGCAGCTAAGGAAGAATTCGTACAACTGTTGGTATGTGAAGGTGCCCTCTGGTCAGTTTTATTATAATGTTCCCTACTTTGGTTTTCGTTCAATAAAGTAAGAAAGCCGCTTTTTATCAACTTCAAGCGTTTAGAATGGGATATCCTATTTAGAATAATGTTAGGATTGTTTTAAATTGGTATATATTTTCTTAATAGTTTCAGTATCCTTTTAACGGCTTCAATCTTTAATGATTAATGTATTGCATGAAAAGGCTGTATAGGTGCTGTGTATGTGCAGATTTATTAATTTACTAACTAGCTGATAAACTTGGACTTTATTTAGTGTAAGGTATAGAATGATTTTGGGTTGTGTAAGTGCCAATTTGCTATTTCTATTAGAATTGGGAAAATTAGATTTTTTTTCATGCGATAATTTGTTGAATGGCTCATCCTGTCAGCTTCAAGCTGTCGACACCAGTAACTTGATAATACCACTTCTGTACAACTTCAAACTCAAGTGTTGGTTTATTCTGTGATATTAATGTCGGTGCGATAATTAAAAGAATGCCTCTTCTGATTGACTGTAAACTTTCCAAGTTGGTATATCAGTTGAAGGTTCAAATAGGTTTGGGCACTGTAGATGCCAACATTTCAGTTTTATTGAAGAATTTGAGATATAAGCTTCCATGCGATGAGTTACGAATATCGCATCGGACTGGCGTTAAATCTTCAGTGCTGATATTTATATGCATTAGAAACTTAAGCCGCACTTAGTATCCCTTTTGCGTGTGTTGAGGTATAGAGGATGGGTTTAAGTTATAGATACCATTTTCGGATCACGCAATGACTGAAACGTATTTAGATTACTGCTCTTATCAAATAGAATTCAAAGGAGTTTCGAAAACATTAACGGGCAGCGATTACACTATTTCTAATAGGTTTATTAATGTTTAAATACTATTTAGAGACAAAACAGATGAGATGTGTACAGGTGTGTGTGTGGAAGAGGCTGTTGAACCATGACCTTCGCCGCACCAGATTACATAGATTACTAATCTTATTTACACCCGTGAGATCCACTCAAGGTATCCCATCAAGTGTGGTGGTGATGCCATTAATTAAAACTACCGTAGATACTGAGCGCAGAGCAGAAGTTTTAACAGTTTTCACGAAAGTCGATAAATTCTTGCAGGCAATTTGGTGTATCCCATCCTGTGCGATGGTATGTGAGAAGGATGCATAGCCATCTTTTGTTCCAACTTGCATATAGATTTGTGTAGCATCCTTACGTTGGTGTGCCCATTTTTTATGCAGATGCCGTAATCTTGCTAAGCAAGACAGAAAAATTGGTTGTGTGTGTGTGTGTGTGTGTGTGTGTGTGTGTGTGTGTGTGTGTGTGTGTGTGTGTGTGTTTTGGAAAGGAGAGCCATGCACAAGTAAAATACATGTCCTGATTTGTATATTCTTTTTCACCTCAGCCTGGTAATCTGAATCACCCATTCTTTTAATATGCTTTTAAGTTAAAACAATAGAAAATTAATTTGAGGTAGTGTGTGTGTGTGTGTGCGCATAGTTTGAATCGCCTGGGCATTAACAGAGTAACCCTTGCTGCTGAAAATGTTTAATTTTCTTGAGTTTGTCTGCGTGTTAAATCTAGTAGTATCTGGTATTCTAGTTTATCTGGAGTGTAGAAAAGTAGAGTAGGACAAGTACACTCATATGCAGCCCCTTTTTGTACCACCCGTGATAAACACTCAGATTTTAGTGTATATTTTTCTTGGCCACTTATTGCCACACAACCGTTTTATTAATTTGCTAATTTTCTGTCAAATACATATAAAACAAGAATTTTTGACACCGGCCGTCTCGCACCAAGGCATGGTGACCGGAAAAAGAAGAAACACTTTAATCATCACTCACTCCATCACTGTCTTGCCAGAGGAGCGCCGATAATACAGCTCAGAACTGCAAATATCCCCACCCCTCCTTAGTGCAAACACTGTACTTCCCTCCTCCAGGACTAGAGTTCATCTAACCAGTTTCCCTGAATCCCTTCATAAATGTTACCATGCTCAGACTTCAACAGCACCTAAAGTCATAAAAAAACACTTGCCTGCACTCTTATGTAACATGCTCACACACGTTTGATGGATGTCTAAGCCCCTCGCACACAACGTCCTTTACCCCCTCCCTCCAACCTTTCCTAGGACGACCTCTACCCGTCATCAGCACTCTGTACTTATAATACTTTTGGTAATCCCACACCACCTGATTTCCAAGCTACGAATTCTCTGCATAATCACACCACTGCCCTCGGACACATCTCCACTGCCTTTAGTCTCCTTGCAGCAACTTTCACAACCCATGCTTCATACACATAAAGAGCATTGTACCATTATACTCTCGTACATTCCTCTCTTTTCCTCTAATGATAACGTGTTTGTCACCATAAATGCCTCCATGCACCACTCACCTTTTTTTTCCTTGTCAACCCAACCTAAGCTAAATTAATTTAAGGCAACTTGAAAATTGGTTCTGAAAAAATGGAAGGGTTTGTAAACTGATGTTGTGTACTATGTCCAAACATGTAATAAAAATGAAGATAGGTTGTTACAGTATGTGCTTGTATATAATGTTTATCATTGTTGGACTAAACTGCAATGTATCTTACATTGAATTTCACCAATGTCTGAGAAAATACTGCCCATAGCTGGGGGGGGGGGGGGAAAAATTCCACACAAAAGTTGGACTTGTTTCCCAAAAACATGCACAGCAGTTTTACTTTATCCCTAGCTTCTCTTATCACAACACTGCGAAGAAGGGTCATCTTATCATAAGGGTGAGGGGATGGGCTCTGATAGGCTGCTGCATCCTCACTTAAAACCCAACAACACCTATCTGGCTTCAATATGAACACAAGAGCGTAAGATGGCAAAGGGCTTAACTCGTTTTGTTAAAAAAAAAAACTGTTAACATCTGTGTGGCAGTCCAAGACATTTTGAGGCCTTTTTTTTATGGAATTATGGTTGCTTCTGGGACATGTTTCTACTTACTCTGCACTCACTGACTGATGCTTTTTTGTTCAGACTTATATCTTCAGAGGCTAAGGTGCTTTCTTGTGGCTAGTGTTTTTTAGTGATCAGTGCTTTATTTCTATGAAATAATAATTTTGCCAGACTATGACTTTTGACATGAAACATCATTTGACTAAAGTTTGTGGCAGAATATTTATAATTTGATTTACTAATGAAGCTTGATGTGGACAGTTTGGGAATGTGATTCGTTGAATACTCGATACAAGACATTTTGTGGCCCACAATTTGTGGATTAAGACATTACTGTACACCTGACATCTTCAGTTGCTGCACCTCTCCACTTTTTCCATTTGCTCAAGTATAAAAGTCTCCATCCTCATATCTCTGTATTAGATTGATAAGCTTGCTGCACAGGCAAAACCTCTCTCAGTAATGATGCTCAGGTGTTGAACATGGCTTGTTCATCAGCTTGGTGTTATACCTTTTGATTGGGCATTGTATGACTCCAGTGGGTTTAATGTTTCCCTATGAATGTAATAATACCCTTCATGTAATGATATTTGTCTGATGCAGTAACACCTTGAAAGTAGGTCAGGCCTCTCTTGTGCTCCTGACCTACTTTCACTAGTTGGCCCCTGCCCACATGTGATCACATCTTCAACAAATGCATTTCTCTCAACATTTACAGCTCCATTACTAAATCTATGACCCAGCTTATGGGCCTAACCTACCTTCCTCCAGTGGGCCCTGCCCACTTGCATAATATCTTCAGCTCCTGCACTTCTTCCACTGGCTTTAATATGTCTCCATCTTTGTGCCTCTACATGTATTAGATTATAATGCCTGCTGCACAAAATCTCAGTAAAAATACTGAGGTGTTGCACATATTTTATTTTCAGATTTACTTCAGGTGTTTACAAGAGATAGGGAGAGTAAGAAACCCCAGCTTGGGTTTTCTTACTCTCATGAGTGACTTGCTTGCTTATTCACTCTCCCATGACTGTCCCTCAAACTTACTTTCTTACAATGAGTTCTCAAATAGAATAATTTCTTTACATTGATCTTAAAATTTATCACTAACAACAAAATTACAACTTTCCAGCTCTTTTCAAACAATTAATCTATGGTAGCACTGACCCACCTTTTATTACTTTTCTTGTGCTAGCTAATGTAAGTACTGTAGTCTAAATAAGACCTGTGGATTTGATACACTTAAGACTCGCCATCGATTTTATTCCATTAATGTACACTGTGAAAGCATGTTTCCCTCAAGTTGAATCTGTACTCCAATTCCTTGAATTGAAACTGAATGCTTTCCATTTCCCCCAGGTGTTGTATGACCCCTATGGATTTAATGCTTCTTCCCTGAAGATAATAATAACCCAGTCTCTTGTCATTCTTGGAATGAATGTTTGCAGATGAAGTGATGTTCTTCAGAAGGATACATTCAGTGGTATAGGCCTTGCTGTCTGAGTAATGAAGTTCACCATCATGTCTCCATATAATCAGAAGTTTATATAACAGGGAAATTATACTGGAGAATGTGATTATTAATTACTGATGATGAGAGCATTGGGAATATAGTTACACAAGGTTACTGGGAAGGGAATACTGTAATGCTATAGGGAAGGGGGTTATTACAATGATCTATTACACAGCTATAAGACATGGATTCCACTTTGAATCCATTAAGTTCTTTCTTGGTTGAAGTAACCTTTGACTTCCTCTTCCTTATTCTACAGTATACTGTATAAATTTTGCCATTTAACCATAAATTGTAGTTTGTCATATAAATATTTGTGTTTTGTACCATGTTTCCTTTATTACAGAAACTCCACGATGGCTGGCCAACTTGATAGGTTCAATGGGCATCTCTTTCATTTTCTTCATCACGCTAATGAAAGTGCGGCAGTATCTCTTGCGAATCCTACTGGCATATAGGGGATGGATGTGTAAGTCATTTGCATTTTTTTTGATTTAGAAGCATATGTTGTATGACCCACGTGGGTTCAGTGTTTCTTTTCAAATTATGTAATAATTTAGGGTTTAGTATGAACAATTCTAATACATACTTCATTGGCCATTTGGTTTTTAACATACTGTAATTGGTTAAATCTTTGCATACACAACACTGGTGTATTTGTAGTTCTTCCATATTTATTTGGCATGAATCTGAAAATACAGCATGTATTTTATTACAGTATTACAGTTGACCCCTATAATTCGTGGAGGTTAAGCTTCTGGTGGCCTGGTGACTGACGCTCTCGCTTCACACAGCGAGGGCCTGAGTTCAATTCCCAGCCAGAGTAGAAACATTGGGCGTGTTTCTTTCCACCTGTTTATGTTCCCCATCAGTAAAATGGGTACCTGGGTGTTAGTTGACTGGTGTGGGTCGCATCCTGGGACACTGACCTAATGTGCCCAAAATGCTTGGCTTAACAAAGGGCTTTCTATATAGTAGTATTTCATTGATGTCAGCTAGGCCTGTATACCATGTACATGTACTTGTAATATAATAATAATAATAATAATAATTTTATTTATCTCTTTGAATATTGTATTGCTCTAATCTCCTTAATATTGTCATTCATAAGAAGGAAGATTTTAAATGAAATTGTATGGTTAGTTTTCTAATCAGGAGTTATGCGCCAAACAAACAGGCAATGAGTACCAAGAAAACATGCGAGCAGTTGAAGCTATCTGTGTAATGCCTTTCAATAAAAACCTTGTACAGTACTGTTCAATCAGATCATGCAGGATACAAAGAATGTGAATTATGGCATTGCACTGTACACTGAAAAACTGCCCCTAATAAAGGAACTTTTACCCCTTGTATGATGGGAAAATATATTTAGATATCCAGAACAACAGATTTTGGTGTAATGCGTCTGTTAAATGATGAATTTCTGTCCTATATAATTGTGGCATTTAAGATTAACAGTTCGATTTTTTTTTAACTGATGTTAGATATTTTTATCTAGTGTAATTGTACTAGTTGTCCTACCAAGTGCTAAATTTTTTTTAATGGTTTCTACCTTGGAATTTTGGCTTTGTGTGTGGGTGGGGTGTGTGTGGGTGGGGGGTGTGTGTGTGTGGGTGTGTGGGGGTGTGGGTGTGTGTGTGTGGGTGTGTGGGTGTGGGGTGTGGGTGTGTGTGTGGGTGTGTGTGTGGGTGTGTACTCACCTAGTTGAGGTTGCAGGGGTCGAGTCTGAGCTCCTGGCCCCGCCTCTTCACTGATCGCTACTAGGTCACTCTCCCTGAACCGTGAGCTTTATCATACCTCTGCTTAAAGCTATGTATGGATCCTGCCTCCACTACATCGCTTCCCAAACTATTCCACTTGCTGACTACTCTGTGACTGAAGAAATACTTCCTAACATCCCTGTGATTCATCTGTGTCTTCAACTTCCAACAGTGTCCCCTTGTTGCTGTGTCCCATCTCTGGAACATCCTATCTTTTTCCACCTTGTCAATTCCTCTCAGTATTTTGTATGTCGTTATCATGTCCCCCCTATCTCTCCTGTCCTCCAGTGTCGTCAGGTTGATTTCTCTTAACCTCTCCTCGTAGGAAATACCTCTTAGCTCTGGGACTAGTCTTGTTGCAAACTTTTGCACTTTCTCTAGTTTCTTTACATGCTTGGCTAGGTGTGGGTTCCAAACTGGTGCCGCATACTCCAATATGGGCTAACGTACACTGTGTACAGGGTCCTGAACGATTCTTTATTAAGATGTCGGAATGCTGTTCTGAGGTTTGCTAGGCGCCCATATGCTGCAGCCGTTATTTGGTTGATGTGCGCTTCAGGAGATGTGCCTGGTGTTATACTCGCCCCAAGATCTTTTTCCTTGAGTGAGGTTTGTAGTCTCTGACCCCCTAGACTGTACTCCGTCTGCAGTCTTCTTTGCCCTTCCCCAATCTTCATGACTTTGCACTTGGTGGGATTGAACTCCAGGAGCCAATTGCTGGACCAGGTCTGCAGCCTGTCCAGATCCCTTTGTAGTTCTGCCTGGTCTTCGATCGAGTGAATTCTTCTCATCTCAGAGGTGTCCCTGCAAACAGGGACACCTCCGAGTCTATTCCTTCCGTCATGTCGTTCACAAATGCCAGAAACAGCACTGGTCCTAGGACTGACCCGTGTGGGACCCTCCTGGTCATAGGTGCCCACTCTGACACCTCGCCACGTACCATGACTCGCTGCTGTCTTCCTGACAAGTATTCCCTGATCCATTGTAGTGCCTTCCCTGTTATCCCTGCTTGGTCCTCCAGTTTTTGCACCAATCTCTTGTGTGGAACTGTGTCAAACTCCTTCCTGCAGTCTAGGAAAACGCAATCAACCCACCCCTCTCTCTTGTCTTACTGCTGTCACCATGTCATAGAACTCCAGTAGGTTTGTGACACAGGATTTCCCATCCCTGAAACCATGTTGGCTGCTGTTGATGAGATCATTCCTTTCTAGGTGTTCCACCACTCTTCTCCTGATAATCTTCTCCATGATTTTGCATACTATACATGTCAGTGACACTGGTCTGTAGTTTAGATCTTCATATCTGTCTCCTTTTTTTAAAGATTGGGACTACATTTGCTGTCTTCCATGCCTCAGGCAATCTCCCTGTTTCGATAGATGTATTGAATATTGTTGTTAGGGGTACACATAGTGCCTCTGCTCCCTCTCTCAGGCCCCATGGGGAGATGTTATCTGGCCCCATTGCCTTTGAGGTATCTAGCTCACTCAGAAGCCTCTTCACTTCTTCCTCAATTGTGTGCACTGTGTCCAGCACTTGGTGGTGTGCCCCACCTCTCCGTCTTTCTGGAGCCCCTTCTGTCTCCTCTGTGAACACTTCTTTGAATCTCTTGTCGAGTTCCTCACATACTTCATGGTCATTTCTTGTTTTGTCTCCTCCTTCCTTCCTTAGCGTGATTACCTTGTCCTTGACTGTTGTTTTCCTCCTGATGTGGCTGTATAACAGTTTCGGGTCAGATTTGGCTTTCGCTGCTATGTCATTTTCATATTGTCTTTGGGCCTCCCTTTTTATCTGTGCATATTCGTTTCTGGCTCTACGACTGCTCTCCTTATTCTCCTGGGTCCTTTGCCTTCTATATTTCTTCCATTCCCTAGCACACTTGGTTTTTGCCTCCCTGCATCTTTGGGTGAACCATGGGCTCTTCCTGGCTTTTTCATTATTCCTGTTACCCTTGGGTACAAACCTCTCCTCAGCCTCCTTGCATATTGTTGCTACATATTCCATCTCATTAACTGGCTTCCCTGTCAGTTCTCTGTCCCACTGAACCCCGTTCAGGAAGTTCCTCATTCCCGTGTAGTCCCCTTTCTTGTAGTTTGGCTTCATTCGTCCTGGCCTTCCTGCTTCTCCCTCCACTTGTAGCTCTACTGTGTATTCGAAGCTTAAAACCACATGATCGCTGGCCCCAAGGGGTCTCTCATATGTGATGTCCTCGATATCTGCACTACTCAAGGTGAATACAAAGTCCAGTCTTGCTGGTTCATCCTCTCCTCTCTCTTGTAGTGTCCCTTACGTGTTGGTACATGAAGTTTTCCAGTACCACCTCCATCATCTTAGCCCTCCATGTATCTTGGCCCCCATTAAAATGGTATAAAATACCGACAGATTGTTAGGTAAGACACACATGCAACAGTTAGGTATCTTTATTTCGAAACGTTTCGCCTACACAGTAGGCTTCTTCAGTCGAGTACAGAAAAGTTGATAGAAGCAGAAGATACTTGAAGACGATGTAATCAGTCCATCACCCTTAAAGTTTTGAGGTGGTCAGTCCCTCAGTCTGGAGAAGAGCATTGTTCCGTTGTCTGAAACAATATGAAGTTGAAGTGACAGGATGGAGCCTTATATAGTGTCAGGAGGTGAGACGTAGGTTGCTTTGGGAGGGCAGGTCCCTCTCAAACCCAGCCGTTCTCACTAGTAGAGGTTGTCGAAGTTGATGGTCTGTACCAAGATACCCTTGTGTTGCAGTGTCTGACAGAATGAACATTAAAATGGTATAAAATACCGACAGATTGTTAGGTAAGACACATATGCAACAGTTAGGTATCTTTATTTCGAAACGTTTCGCCTACACAGTAGGCTTCTTCAGTCGAGTACAGAAAAGTTGATAGAAGCAGAAGATACTTGAAGACGATGTAATCAGTCCATCACCCTTCAAGTTTTGAGGTGGTCAGTCCCTCAGTCTGGAGAAGAGCATTGTTCCGTTGTCTGAAACAATATGAAGTTGAAGTGACAGGATGGAGCCTTATATAGTGTCAGGAGGTGAGACGTAGGTTGTTTTGGGAGGGCAGGTCCCTCTCAAACCCAGCCGTTCTCACTAGTAGAGGTTGTCGAAGTTGATGGTCTGTACCAAGATACCCTTGTGTTGCAGTGTCTGACAGAATGAACATGTGTTGCATGTGTGTCTTACCTAACAATCTGTCGGTATTTTATACCATTTTAATGTTCATTCTGTCAGACACTGCAACACATGGGTATCTTGGTACAGACCATCAACTTCGACAACCTCTACTAGTGAGAACGGCTGGGTTTGAGAGGGACCTGCCCTCCCAAAACAACCTACGTCTCACCTCCTGACACTATATAAGGCTCCATCCTGTCACTTCAACTTCATATTGTTTCAGACAACGGAACAATGCTCTTCTCCAGACTGAGGGACTGACCACCTCAAAACTTTAAGGATGATGGACTGATTTTTCCTATGTGTGTGGGCCTGTGGGTGGGTGTGGGCATGTGGGTGGGTGTGGGCATGTGGGTGGGTGTGGGCATGTGGGTGTGTGAGCATGTGGGTGGGTGTGGGCATGTGGGTGTGGGTGTGTGTGGGTGGGTGTGTATGTGTAGGGGGGGTGTGTGAGTGATGGGATGAAGGGGAAGGGAAGGAAGCATGTGCATGTTTGTAAAATCTTATTGTTTAGTGTTTATTGATATTTTGATTCAAACATAAAAATTGGAAATCTTTTGCATAGTTGTAGTGTAATGTAATCCATTCCAGGACTAAAAATCCCTAAAAAAAATTTAAGTTTTGCTCTTGCAAGTAGATTAGTTGTTTTCTCTTATATACTTGGATATTTAATTGCTATATATTGAGTGTAAAGACAAATTATATCTGATGATAAACAACAAAAACAATAATAAATTGTGTTAAAATTATAAATTTTAAAAATTCTTTTAAAGATGAAAATGTGAGGGAAGTGTCCTTAAAGACCAAACTATGGAGTCTGACTGTGAAGTTCGTGTCTGGCTATCAGCCTTCTCTGTATTCTTGCCAGCGATCTCTACCACGAATGCCTGTTCCTCCTCTTGAGGAGACACTTGGTAAGTTTAATAGTGAGATTGATCCAGTAATGGCCAGTTACTAAGCATGAATTTGACTACAGACTACAAGAAGCCCAAGAAGTAATTTAGCTATTACAGATAAAACATATACAGTACTTACTAATGTTTAGTTAAAATTAATATTTTTTAATGCAGTATGAACTGTATAACCTTGATAAAAAAAATTTTAGTACTGGAGGGCCCCATATATACAGTACCTTCTTTTTGGTATTCCATGTTTTTGTTGGCTGCAAATTGAGTCAATGTTCATGTGTTCCACCTGCCGGTGATTGTTGCTGATGGGTGGAACAATGGCTCAATTGAAAGCCACTGAAAATGTGGAACACTGAAAATAGGTGCTGTATGTGTGGGGTCCTCCAGTAAATTTATGTATAAAGCTTTTGTAAAAACAAAGCAAATTCTGTAAATATATTAAACATTCATGTTAGTTGCTTGTGATGTTCCACACCACGGATGGGTTTGGTGTAATGTTCGAAAACCTTATGGACAGTGGGTTGTTAAGGGGGGGAAAGGGTCACAGGTAGAAAGGAGTGAGGGATGACGTTGGGTGTTTGTACTTTCTATAAAATGTGAGGAGAAAAGCTAAAAATTGAAAATGAGGTTCATGGGTAACATTGTTTGAAGCGCCAATGAAAAAAAGCAAACTTTTAGTTCCTAACTGAAGCGACTCCCTCAAATTTAAGGTATGTTAAGTAGTGCTGAGGAGGAACTTGTCCATAATTTAGTCGGTTCTAACCCTGGGCAAGACTCGGTATAACTAAAAAAAATATCCATAAAAAGTTGGGCAGTTGCAAGATATTTTTACTAGGGCCATTGCATAGTCGTTGCATAGTCTTGATACAGTTTGGTAAACTTGCTTGTTAATTTTAGTTGGATATCTCTCAGAGGACTAACAAAGTACAGTGGACCCCCGGTTAACGAACTTTTTTCATTCCAGTAGTATGTTCAGGTGCCAGTACTGACCGAATTTTTTCCCATAAGGAATATTGTGAAGTAGATTAGTCCATTTCAGACCCCCAAACATACACGTACAAACGCACTTACATAAATACACTTACATAATTGGTCGCATTTGGAGGTGATCGTTAAGCGGGGGTCCACTGTATTTCATAATTACTTAAAGCTTGTTTCTCAGTGTAGATTATAGCAAAGGCACTTTAAAATTTAGAAATTCTTGATTTGTTTCATTTTGATATTCAGTTCATATTTTCATGTTGTAAAGAATTGTAAGAATACTTTTATGATACAGTATTAAATTTCATCTGTAAATTCTTTCCTGTTTATTAAAAAAAATCTTAATTGTTGAGCAGTTGTCTATCTTCCTCTTCACTTCCCACTTTTTTTTTTACCTCCTAATGTTTTCTTTTGTTTATCAACTGTTTATGCATTTGCAAGAGCATATTTATGCATACAGAATTGTTAGCTGGACTTGAGTACTGGAGGTGGGAAGTACAGTTCCTTCACTCTAAAGGATGGGTTTGGGATATTTGGTGTTTAGAGGGACATTTAAACTGTTGTATATATGCGCCTCTGGCAAGACAGTGATAGTGTAACTGATGATGAAAGGGTTTTTGTTCAGGTCACTCTGCGAGACAGCCAGTGTGTTAAAAAAAAAAAAATTGTCCCTTATGCATTTCAATTAAACTTCTCGTTTCTATTATTTTGCTCTCAGGTAAATTGCTAGACAGTTTGAAACCTTTGTGCTCTGAGGAAGAATTTAAGGAATATACTAAACAAGCAAATGAATTTGAGAGCACAGTTGGGCCTCGATTACAACGTCTTCTCTACCTCAAGTCTTGGTGGGCTCCTAATTATGTGTCTGATTGGTGGTAAGTCAAACTTTGACTTAACCTGCTTCATTACAAGTGGGTAGTCAGAAAGTAAAATATTTGTATGTCCAGTCATTTTCATACATAATAGATAGATTCATCTCACCTTGAAATGGCTTCACTAGCAGCATTTAACTCTTCCATGAAATTATATTAACTGGTTTAGCAGTTATTAATATCCTTTATTTCAAGGAAAGTGTGAGGTAAAACATTCTTTGAAGGTAATGTGAAGGAAGATGACTAGATTTGCAATGGATATTTTAATAATAGCATTGTGAATGTGGCTGAAGAAATTAACAGTTTAAAAAATACATGTATCAAGATTCATCCTACATTTTATTCAAGTTATAAATTTCTGTGCAATTTCCAGGGAGAAATATGTGTATCTGATGTCTCGATGCTCATTACTCATCAACTCTAATTATTATGCCTTAGATAACTACAGATGGACCCCAACCAATAGGCAGGTTAGTGATCCTAATTTAATATTTATTACTTTACATATGGTAGCTATATTTTCAAGACTTTAATTTTCTTGACTAATTCTGCTTATTCTTTATAAGCTTTGCAACAATGCTACATGGAAGAAGCTATTATAAAACTAGCACAGTGCATACACCCAGCATTTAAACAAACTACTGTAAGTTTAACATCGTTTATTTAATTTAAATTTTGCATACCATTATACAGTACATTCAGTTCATTATCTGAATTTTTAACTGATGTTAATATAATTTTTTGTGTTCCCTCTGTTTTACACTTACATTTCTGTATTTGTTTGCTTACAAACTCGAATAAGGACACTGAAAAATGTTACAGAATGTTAAGAATTTCCTCACCAATTAACCTACTGAAAGCTAATAGTACTTTTAGAATATGGTATTTACGCTATTCACTACAGTACTTCCACACTAATTTTTTTTTTTTTTTTTTAACATTTCAAATATTTTCAGGTGTCAAGAGCAGCAAATGTTGTCTATTCCATTCTTAACATCAAACGTAAGATTGATAGAGAAGAGCTTCCTCCTCTGCTGCTACGTAATACCATTCCTATTTGTATGGCACAGTATGAGCGGCTCTTCTCCACTGTCCGGTGAGCTTCGAATTTTTCTGTAATTACTAGCCTCAATGCTAATAAAATATTAATTTTCATGTGTATTAACTTGCAGTCGACTCAGTTGCTGAATTTTAGCCACCTGTTCATTATCAAATTTGCTCTTGACACTGGAGTTTGTGTCCACCATGCCCTCTTCCATCTCATTCCACTTCTTTTAAAAAAACTCTGCCTTAATAAGTATTTTCTTAACATTCCTCTGACTCTTCTTATGTCCCCTTGGCTATTTTCCCTCTTCTCAGACATGACTATCCACTCAGTGCCTTGATGTGGAAAAGATACACAATTTGCAGAAATGAACATTGAGACTTTTTGCCTGTTGGAATGGCGTCTTCAGTCAGTATACAGAGGCAGACGACAAGCATATTTATGTAGGTGCAGTCATGTGAGTGGTTGGGCATTGAGGTTAGTGTGAGTGGACTGTCAGAAAGGGGCACAGCAAGAGGATTATCGGTACTTGTGTGCACTGGTGCACTGCTGATAACCTGTTTATGTAAAAGAATTTGGGCGCACTGCAGGATCTCTCACCCACCCTCTCCTAGAGCATCATTGGTGTGGCAACTATCACATCAAACACCCTCAAGATTTAACAAGGATGAAAAATCACCACCCAAACCTCTGTAACACAGGTATTTACTTCATACCATGTAGTGGCTGTGACCATAAATACACGAGACCTATTATGTGTGCAAGACTAAACACAATCTTTGAGTCATGTATAAGAAAAGGACTATACACCTAATGTTTTGGAATGTCACAAGGCTGGTCATCAAAGGAGACAAAACACAATGCAGATGCCTGAAAGCTGCTTTGATATGTACGTAAAATACTATCCATTAGAAACAAGAAGCGTTCAGTTTAGCTAATCTTTGGCTCAACTTATAAATAAACAGGTTATTAACTACTCATGAAGAGTGGTAGTCCTCTCATTCTACCCATGATATGACCTTGCTTCCTGGCCATACACCTAACTGGATTTGTATACATATGCTTGCTGTCCATCTCTGGTTATTGACTGAAGAAGACTATCCTACTGGAAAAATGTTGCAATAAAGTTCCTTTCTGCAAATTGTCTATCTTTTCCATTTGTCAGCCTCGCACCATTGGTCTTCTCCAATGCTTCTCTATCTTATACAGCTTGATCATGCCCGTCTCTTTTAGTTCTTTGCTTATCAAAAAACTTGAGCTTCTAAAGACTTTAGTGTAATGTATGTATTGACAAATACCTGTAAATTAGTTTTAAAAAATGTAACGCAAAATGCATGTGATTATATATATAAAAAATGTACAGAATAAAGGATCTGGATGGTTCAAGCAATGATAATAAAAATAACAATAACAAGTGCATGGGTTTAAGGGTAAACCAATTTGCCAGAGTTGAGTCCTGGAGGTGGGAGGGGTAGTGCCTGCACTCTAACAGAAGTGGATTTTGCAGTTAGAGCATAATCTGATTGCAGTGTCATCACACTTCTGGAAATATGGCAGTTGAATAAATGATAGTGAATGTCTTTATTTTCTTTGAGTCACCCTGCTTTGGCAAGATAAGTTAAAAGAATGTACAGTATACTGAAAGCATTGTAATTTTTACCACTGAACCTTTCATTACTTGTTAATTTTAAGCCTGCCCATAATGCTCTGCATATAAGGGGCTTTTGGCATGTACACCCAACTACTATAATTCCTTGTGCAACTATGTATCATGTCCAAATAAACTATATGAATATGAATTGTTTTTTGCCATTTTTTGGCTGTTTGGGGGAGGGGGGTTAAGATGTGACATAACCACATTAAAGTATGAAAGGATCCAAAATAATTGAAAAGGAAGACTTAATAAATCCCATTAACTGGCAGGACAAAAAAAATGCCTTTAACCCGTAAATGGTCCAAGCAGATCTACGTTCATATGCATAGTGCTCCAAAAGTAGATCTACGTTTTTTTTTTTTTTACATATTTTCAAATATAACAAAAAAAAAAATCTACTTTTTTTACATACAGTGGACCCTCGGCTAATGCTATTAATCCATTCCTGAGAGCTCATCGTTAGTCAAGTTAATTTTCCCCATAAGAAATAATGGAAATCAAATTAATCCGTGCAAGACACCCAAAAGTATTGAAAAAAATTTTTTTTAACACATGAAATATTAATTTTAATACACACAAACTGAAGAAGACATGCACAGTTACATGACACTTACCTTTATTGAAGATCTGGTGATGATTGATGGGATGGGAAGAGGGGAGTGTGTTGATGGTCTTAGTGTTTAGAAGGGGAATCCCCTTCCATTAGGACTTGAGGTGGCAAGTCCTTTTTCGAGGTTACTTCCCTTCTTCTTTTAATGCCACTAGGACCAGCTTGAGAGTCACTGGACCTCTGTCGCACAACATATCTGCCCATAGAGCCCTGTACCTCCCGTTCCTTTATGACATTCCTAAAGTGTTTCACAACATTGTCAGTGTCACCATTAAACACTTGTTCAGGTTTCAGTCCTTCACTGTCTGTACTCCTTGAATTCCTGCACATATTTTTCAGCTGCTTTTTGGTCCAAACTGGCAGCCTCACCATGCCTTATCACACTATGTATGCCACTATGATTCTTAAATCTCTCAAACCAACCTTTGCTGGCCTTAAATTCACTCACATCACCACTAGTTGCTGGCATTTTTCTAATTAAATCGTCATGCAACTTCCTAGCCTTTTCACATATGATCGCTTGAGAGATGCTATCTCCTGCTATCTGTTTTTCGTTTATCCACATCAATAAGAGTCTCTCAGCATCTTCTATCACTTGTGATCTCAGTTTCGAAAACATAGTTGCACCTTTGGCAAGAACAGCTTCCTTGATTGCCATTTTCTTGGCCACAATAGTAGCGATGGTTGATTGGGGTTTTGTGTACAGCCTGGCCAGCTCGGAGACATGCACTCCACTTTCATACTTAGCAATGATCTCTTTCTTCATATCCATAGTAATTCTCACCCTTTTTGCTGTAGGGTTGGCACTAGAAGCTTTCTTGGGGCCCATGGTGACTTATTTTGCAGGTGCAATCACTAAAAAGGCTGTGATAATATGAAATGTTCCGATTGTATGCTTGGAAGCGACCGCGGTGGCTGGCTGGCTTGTAAACACTGGCCAGAAGTGGACGCGTCTCAGACGGAACGAATAGTGTTGGTCGAGTTTTTTAGCGCTAATCGAGGCAAAATTTTTGCGATAAAATGTATCGCTAGTCAGATTTATCGTTAATCGATGCTATCGCTGGTCGAGGGTCCACTGTACTTTCAAATGTTGAAAAAACGTATATATACGTTTGGACCGTTTATGGGTTAAGGAAGAGCTGGGAAAAGGATACTAGAAAGTTTTTCTTATGCAGATTGGCAAAACAATGGAATGGTTTACAAGAAGGCAGTAAGTGCTGCAACTGCTGGAAATACAAACACTTTTCTATAAACTAAATATTGGAAATATGGTACTATGAGCTGAACTCTGGTCCTATAGCTAAAAGTTGGTAATCACATAGGTCATGTTAATATATATATAATTTTTTTTTTTTTTTTTTTAACAAGTCAGCCGTCTCCCACCGAGGCAAGGTGACCCTAAAAAAGAAAGAAAATGCCCAAAATACTTTCATCATCATTCAACACTTTCACCTCACTCACACGTAATCACTGTTTTTGCAGAGGTGCTCAGAACACAACAGCTTAGAAGCATATACCTATAAAGATCCACAACATATCCCTCCAAACTACTAACATCCCAAACCCCTACTTTAGAGTGCAGCCATTGTACTTCCCATTTCCAGGTATTACAAAAAAAGTATTTTTGAGATGGTAGTTTACTCATTTTGTAATAAAAAGTTCGGGATACATATATACACGTTAAAATAAATTAATCTTTAATATTATATAAAAAAAACTATCTTTGGTCTAGAGATATTTTGTAAATAAACATCTGATAATATATACATGTTACAATAATAAATTATAATTAGCATCTTTGTAAAATAATAAATAATTCCTGACCCTACACAGGGTACAGCTTCTTAGACACTACTGTGTCACTATATATATCTATGCTGAAATAATAAATTATAAATAACATTTACAATAATAAATTACGATCAACTTCGTGTCTCACGACACCCTTATGATGCTCCGTGTCTCGCACAACACTTATATTCAAGTTGTGACGCTCCCTGTGTCACACGACACTTATCCGTGTAATGACGCTCCATCTCAACTGTGTCCCTTGGCACCCTTTTCTCTGCGTAATGACGCTCCTACTCTCCGTGTCACACGACACCCTTTTCTCTGCGTCATACACTACTGTGTCACCCTTGACACCTTGCGACACACTCACACAGCGTCTTTCTCGAGGCCAGTCACATGACACTATTAATGTATACTACAGCCGTAACTTCTTTAGTGTCACACGACACCCTTTTCTTTTCAGTGTTCCACTACGGTCCTATAGCATATCTCAGTGTTACACTCCATCATACTTGCTTAAGTGTCACACTACGGTCCTAGCCCAGTTCAGTGTCACACTCCAACCTTTTCTTCACGTAGTGTCCCACTAAAACAGCATCCGATGACTCCGGCCCACAGTTGACCAGCGTAGGCGGTGAGTCCGCAGACATCACCTGGTAATCCTGTAAATACTCTAAGGCCAGTAGAAGTACACCGTAAGATGGTCTGGTGAGTGCTATCTACCGCCTTCAAGACCAGTTGACACACCGCTTGCAGAACACCGTGCTGCGAGCTCACGGAGTGCGGCCGCCAAGTGGCTGAGGCCATCAGACTCGGTGAGCTGCGGTGAGCGGTTCTTCTAAAATCAGTAGAAGCCAGTAGAATACTCTCTACTGCCAGTAGATATGTACCATTAGGTGTTCTGGTAACTACTGCTTAGATGTGTACCGTGAGGTGTTCTGGTACATACTGCTTCTAAGGCCGGCTCAGCAGTCCCCACATTGGGTTTGATGACGTACCCTTGGTACTGCCGGCCGGCAGGTTAACAGTTTAACAGCTAGTTTGGCAGGGGGCTGCAACACCAGGACTCAAGTCCGGCTATATAAAAATAACCGGTTTCCCTGAATCCCTTCACTAAATATTACCCTGCTCACACTCCAACAGATCGTCAGGTCCCAAGTACCATTCGTCTCCATTCACTTCTATCTAACACGCTCACGCACGCTTGCTCTAAGTCCAAGCCTCTCGCCCACAAAACCTCCTTTACACCCTCCCTCCAACCTTTTCGAGGATGACCCCTACCCCTCCTTCCTTCCCCTACAGATTTATACGCTCTCCATGTCATTCTACTTTGAGCCATTCTCTCTAAATGACCAACCCACTTCAACAACCCCTCTTCAGCCCTCTGACTAATACTTTTATTAACTCCACACCTTCTCCTAATTTCCACACTCTGAATTTTCTGCATAATACTATTTACACCACACATTGCCCTTAGACAGGACATCTCCACTGCCCCAACCGCCTCCTCGCTGCTGCATTCACAACCCAAGCTTCACACCCATATAAGAGTGTTGGTACTACTATACTTTCATACATTCCCTTCTTTGCCTCCATAGATAATGTTTTTTGTCTCCACATATACCTCAATGTGCCACTTACCTTTTTTTCCCTCATCAGTTATGTGATTAACCTCATCCTTCATAAATCCATCCGCCGACAGGTCAACTGGCGTTAAAATTTTGTCTCCTACTGTTAGGAAGAGATATCAGTTGTCATAATGGCACTCAGTGACGGCTTGTCCATAGGAGATGCAGAGCTGCAGTGACCCCCAAATGCTCACTGCCAGATGTATGACTTCATCAACCTTGTGCAAAAATAATTTGCAACTGACAAATATATTACAGGAAAAATCTGTTGTATGTTGTTTTCAATGCATTTATAAGCGAATTTTTAATCTTTTTGTTGAAATGAGATAAAAAATTATTAAAAATGGAAGTTTGATGCGGTACAATAGTATAGGTATTACTGGTGCTACGAGCCACCACTGTTGGCACCCAATAACTTTGTCTTATTTGTAAAGCATCTCAAGTTCTTTGATCCATTAAGTAGAATCAGATTTATGTATCACACTTGTTTCAGAGTACCTGGCGAGGAAATTGACGAGTTACTTCATTTTGAATCTTGTGAATCTCGTAACATTGTAGTATGGCGCAAAGGGCTCTTCTACCAGTTAAGTATCTATGATGATAAGAACCAGATCCTTTCTGTGTCTGTATTGGAGAGGCTCTTCCAGGATATTCTTGATGATGCTGATAAGCACAAAGGTAAGAAAGTATTATTGCACTGTGCTGCCATATCACAAATAATTTTTTTTGTTTCCTTGAGCGTTGTTAGTATGGTAATTCATTAATTATAAAAAGCCATTTAAATCTCTTGTTCATAAGTCAGCAGTGATGCTCACACTTTTTTTAAATTGAGCATTACTTAAGAGAAAATTATTTGTGCAGAATCTACCGTAATATACTTTGTAGTTTTTAATAGTGTGTGCTTCTTCAGGGATACTTAAAACTGATGGCTAGTAGAGAAGACTTGTTCGTTCAAAGATTCTTAGGTTGGCGTTAGCAGGTCCTGTAGATGTAGAGTGAATAGTAGTATGAATGGCTGGCATGCATGAGTGGTAAGTAGTCTTATAAATTTGAAAAGGTAGCATTGTTTGAAACTACAGTAGTTTGAAATATTGTAGCTCTAATCATTGGTTTTAGTTTTTCTGTTATTACTCTCAAGAATAGATACCATATAAGCTATAGATAGTTAAGTATATAGCATAGTGTAGATTGGAGTAATATATAGTATCTAAAAATTGCAAAAGCTTGTGTTGAATATAAATAATGTATTTAAATTGCTTTCAGTATAAATTATTATACAGTATAAAGTATTGGTTTATACTGTATTTGTATTTTCATATTCAACAGAATGTGTAAGTGAAAGTGAACGTAGCGTTGCAGCATTAACAGGTCTTCCAAGGCCAGAATGGGCACGAATACAAAAAGAATTTTTCACATCCGGTATCAACAAAGACAACATGGATGTCATAAACAAGGCAGTGTTCATGGTTAGCAAACATTTTTAAGAAAACAATGTTGAGGAATATTAATAAATTGCCTTAATGTTTTTAATGTATTTTATGACAAACATAATACAATATATTTTTTCTTTTTAACAGTCTCTTGCCTTGTTAGGGGTGACTCATAAAAGAAAACACCATCACTCACTCTATTACTGTGTTGCCAGGGGCATGCCAACATTACATTACGTCACCAAGTTTTAGCTTCACATAAGCTGCCTTCAGAAAATAGAAATAATTGTGAGGAATGTCACATTAAAACCTCAGACAAATTGTACATATATTTTTGTGATTTAAGAGGAGCAGGGAGAATTTTAGGAAGGGTAGGGAATATGTAGACTAGGCATTTGCATTGAAGCATATAAGCAAGCAGTAATTAGATATAGGTAAAGAGCTGTTTGTTGCATTTATAGATTTAGAAAAGGCATATGATATTGTGGATAGGGAAGCCATGTGGCAATTATTGCAAATGCATGAAATAGACAGGTTATTAAAAGCAATTAAGAGTTTTATGCAGTGTGAGATGCTCAGGTTAGATATGTGAGGAGGAGGTCGACTAGACCCCTGTGAAAGTAGGATTTGGATAGGGATGTATGATGTCACCATAATTGTTTATCATATTTATAGATGGGGTTGTAAAAAAGTGAATATTAGGGTATTAGCAGGGGCTGTGGGTTTAAAAGATATTGGATCTGATATAAAGTGGGAGTTATCACAGTTGCTCATTGCTGGTGACGGTTCTTTTTGGGGATTCTGACGACAAGTTAGAAAGGTTGGTGTACAAATTTGGGAGGAAAATTTTAGTGGGAAACGGCCGACGTGTTAAAAAAAGAAAATGTAAAAGGGAACACGGAGAAGAGCAAGGTGATTAGGGTAACAAAAAAAGTTTAGGCAATGATTAGTTTGAATATCAGATTGGAGAGGAGTATGGAGGAAGTGGATATATTTGGAATAGATATTTGGGTGCAAACATGTCAGCAGATGGGTCTACGAAGAATGCGGTAAACCATAGAATAAATGAAGGGCAAAAAAGGTGGGTGGTGTGTCGAGGCATCCAGGGAAATGAAAGAAGCGTATCTAGGAAGGCAGATAATGGTATATACTAATGTATTGTGGTACAAACATATTTATATGGTTGTGAGGCATTGGTTTTGAATGATGCAGCGAGGAGGCAGCTAGAGACAGTGGACATACATTCAAGAGTAATGTGTGGTGTGAATATCGTGCAGAGAATTTGAAGCATAGAAATTGAAAACTGATATGAGGTCATTGAGGGTATAATTAGGAGGGTTGTTTATGCGTATGGAGGAATAGGATAACAAAGAGGATGTGGAAATCTAGGTTGGAAGGTAGGAGTAGGGGTCATTCCAGGAATGGTTAGAGAGTGGGGGTAAAATAGACTTTGAGTTTTAGGGGCACGAGTATCCAGCAGGCTTGTGTGAGTGTAACAGGAGTGAATGGAGATAAGTAGTTTTTAATGGATATGCTGTTGGAGTATGATTAAAGTACCTTTTATGAAGGGATAGTCCTGGACTCTGACAGAGAGGTGGGGGATAGTTGGATGGCAGTCTGAATTGTGATGTCACTCTGTTTTAGAAAAAGTTATTGAATGAATGGGGTGAAAGTGTTTTCTTTTTTTAGGTTACCCTGCCTTGGCAGGAGATGGCCATTATGGTAAAAAAAAAAAAAAAAAAAAAATGGGATTTGACCAGCCTTCGTCCCTTCCTGGTTCAGTGTCGTTTAAGTAAGAACATGTTACCTAAATTGCGAGTGTCAAACCATACAATGTTTTCATAGAAATTTGTTTTATAATGTTATAAAAGTCTTGCTTCACTTAATATTTTCTAATACAATCCTTTAAAAGCAAATTTTGCTAGTTTGAACTCTGTATTGGAGTTCACTATCTAATTTTTTTTTTTTTTTTTTTTTTAATCATTATCCATTTCATTTTTGCAGGTTATAATGTTAGACAAAAGTCCAGAGAATATTTCTGATAAGGGCAAAATACTCTTGCATGCAGATGGTCGCACTTTGTGGTAAGTTCATTTAGTATATTTTGAATTGTGCAAATGTGAATAAGTTAGCTTATACAAAAAAATTTAATATTAAAAAAAAAAAAAGTGTGAAAATGTTAAGTTTTCTGCATGGAAAGATATTAGAAAGCTGTCATTAATTTATATCCTTGTATTGGAATGGCTATGATGTTGAAACAGTCCTCTTAATGGAAATATTTAATGATATAGATAGTTGTCAAATAATTTAAGTAAATGTTCAGGACAAAAGCTGATTAACAGAGTAAAGACTTTCTACCAATCTCTTAATATTTTTCCTTAAGTAAATTTTCATTTTGGAAGTAGCTAAAACAGAATGGCAAGTAGGTTTATAGCATTTATGGAAATTAATGCAGGCAGATTTTCCTAACCCAGCTGTAAAGCTTTTGGCGTCCTTTCCTAGGATACAAATCATGAAAACATTAAGTGGATTTAGTTGAAAATTGGTTACTCTTGGGAATTCAATAATGTGTATGAATGAGTTTTTTTAAATTTTCATAGTATCATTGCAAAAATTATGTTCTGGATGTCTTTCCACTGTTTGATAGTAATGTGCCTAATCTTATTGAAAGTGAATGAAAAGCCAGTACGTAATCCGTAGATTATGGGTTTAAAGCCATGAAATGAGCAAGAGGAATAAGCAAGTTTATTTAGGTACACATACATGCCAGTACAGTTTTTTTTTTTATACACTAGCCATTTCCCAAAAAAAAACCAGTTATACATAATTTAACATGTGTAAATTACCTAGAATACTGTAATTGATTCTTTTTACTACATAAGAGTGGTAAAAAAGAGGAATAAACTGAACATGGACAAAAGTTGGAGGCTGGAACAAGAGCTCAAGTTCATCCACATGCAAATTCAAATAAGTAATTACGGTGGACCCCCACATAACGATCACCTCCGAATGCGACCAATTATGTAAGTGTATTTATGTAAGTGCATTTGCACGTGTATGTTTGGGGGTCTGAAATGGACTAATCTACTTCACAATATTCCTTATGGGAACAAATTCGGTCAGTACTGGCACCTGAACATACTTCTGGAGTGAAAAAATATCGTTAACCGGGGGTCCACTGTATATTTATTTTTTATGAGTGGTTCAGCAATGCATTTTTTTTCATCTGTGATCCTCAGAATTTTACTTTTGTCATTATCTTTTTCTCTAGACGTTTTTTATACACCAAAAATTTCTGCTTATGGTTAGGTCTCTGGACAGTTTCTCAGTAAGTGTTAATCCTTTGTCACAACCCCTGCTTGCAAACTTCCTCTCAGGGTCGAAGAATTTTCGAAAATAAAAAAAAATATTTTTCTTGTGAAATGATAGAGAACCTTCAAAAGGTAATAAAACCAAAAGTACTAAATTTGATGGAAAACTTATGGAATTATGCTCTAGCAAATTTAGCGGTCTCGGCGATATTTATTTATCGGCGATTTCGCCCATTTTGAACCCTATTTTGGGGCCAATTGCAGTGTTTGTCATCCAAACTTGTAGTGGTTTTGCTACTGCCTATTTACCTATTTTAACTACCTAGGTAAATTGGCAATTTGGCCAATTTTGCACAAAATTTTGTAAAGGCCAACTTCAAAATAGGGTCCTGAATAAACAGTGCAGACATTCTTGGCACTAAAATAACATTTTCTCTGTTCATTAGTCACATCTATAGGCCCCTTTTATATTACGCATTCTTTCCATTTTGAATTTTTATTTGCACAAAAAAATAGATTTACTGTTATGCAGACCACTGCATTATTGTAATAACTGTATAAATAATATCAGTGCATTTGTGAACGCATATTAGACCCACCAGTTGATGTGTATTGGATGTGTGACTTGATTTGTCAACTCTTGAACATTGGCAAAAATCAAACATTTGTACTAATTTGAGTTCAATTTGAAGCTACTTTGTCCCGAAACCAATCAAAATCATCTGGAATATATTTTCCGTTTTATCAAATGAGACCAAGAAAACGAAAATACAACCATACGAAAATTCACCGCAGAGTTGCAGTTTTAACCCTTTCAGGGTCCGTCCCGTAGATCTATGGCTTTGCGTTCAGTGTCCAAACCGTAGATCTACGTCATGAGCTCAGCTCACTCTGATAAACTGTGAGTGGTACACTTGGGCCTAGATATGAGAGAATACATCTATGTGGTATGTGTGCACCACATAAAACAAATCCTGCAGCACACTGTGTATAATGAGAGAAAAAAAACTGAAACCAAGATTTTCGATTAAAACGGCAACTTTGCAGTGTTTTTTCGTATGTTTTTTATAGTTGTATTTGCAATTTCTTGGTCTCATTTGATAGAATGGAAGACATATTACAGAAAGAGATGATTTTGATTGGTTTTAGCACCGGAAATGGCTTGAAACTGAGCTCAAAGTAGCGGAAATGTTAAATTTTTGTCGATGTTCAAGAGTAAACAAACGACCTCACACGTCTAATACACACCAGCTGGTGGATCTAATACACATTCACAAATGTGGTGATGATATTTATACAATTATTACAATATTGCATAACGGTAAATCTTCTATTTTTTGGTGTGAATAAAAATTCATTATGTAAATAAAAAATAAAAATGGGATTTATTTGTAAAGCCTCAAAACGTAACTAATGAACCGAGGAAATGTTAGTTTAGTGCCAGGAATGCCTACATTGTTTATTCTGGATGCTATTTTGGAATTGGAATATTTTGAACTTTGTGTTAAATTGGCCAAATTACCAATTTCCGATCACTTTATTTTGTAGTTGAAACAGTTGACTTGGCGATTTCTTGTGCTCAATCGATAGAATAGAAGTAATACTAGTAAAATAGCTAAGAATTTAGTCGACTGAAATGATGTAATTGGCCTAAAATGGAAGTCGAAGTCGGCAAAATCGCCGATTCGTAAATATCGCTGACACATCAAAATTCGCGAGAGCATAATTTCGTCGATTTTCCATCAAATTTCATACTTTTTGTTTTATTACCTTCGCAAAAAGATTCTCTACCATTTCATAAGAAAAAATAAAAAAATTTTTTTTGGAAAATTCTTGGACACTGGGGCACCACTTCAGATTTGGGCCTTGGACCCTGAAAGGGTTAAACCAAAGACATGGTCACAGTTTTTTTTCTCATTATACACTGCGTGCTGCAGGATTTTCTTTGTGGTGCACACCACATAGACCCATTCTCTCATATCTAAGCCCAAATTTACTGCTCACTGCTTATGAGTGAACCGAGCTCATGGCATTACATATAATACAGGACCAACACTGGCTTCAAAACTGTGATATAATGGGACCGACACCGAAAGGGTTAAGTACAGTAGTATTCTTTTAGTTAAATTCACTAGCATATTTTCTAGGTATTTAGTTCTTCACATTTCTGTTAAATCACTAAAAATTTATAAAGTTTTTACATAAATGTATGTTCATAACACAACCACCAAGCAAGCAGATGGATACAGATTTTTTTTCATTGAGCATACTCCTCTGCTTTTCCATCATAATGGAAGATGCATCCCTTATCTCACCATTACCTTCTGTGTGTACAGGATACTAACCCATAAATAGTGAGTGTAGTACCTGTACTTTTCATTCTTTCAATTTTTCATGTTCTGCAATTACTCACAGGTGCTAACAGTAATGGGAATAATTTTGAGAAGTTAGGCTAGGTTTAATGTGGACTCAGAAAATTCACATATCTAGAGAAGCCTCAGTCCTGTGGTTTTTGGATACCAGGGATTTGACTCTCCTTTTTTATATCTTGCAGGTGTGACAAGAGCCTAAATATATCTTTCTTCCCTGATGGCCAATGTGGGTTGAATGTTGAACATTCAATGGCAGATGCTCCTGCTATGGGCCATGTTTGGGAATATGCCATGACCATGGAGTAAGTTTCTGCTCAGGTGTGATGATTGTTAGCTCTTTTATTACAGTAATGTTGTATTTGATAAAAATTCCAGTAATTCTCACTGCTGTTTCCCATCTACTGTACATTGTATAACATTAATTAGTTGCCTTTTTCAGTTAGTTTTCTTGACTGCTTTTTAAGGCAAATACAGTAGAACCCTGACTTATGAATAACCAAGATAGAAACATCTGCACTTATGAATAGGATACTTTGGAAATAATTTGAATTCCAATCTTCAGAAATTAGCATTGCATGCATTCGAAGAAAACTTATTAATGAAAATAAATTTTCTTTATTTTTCATCGAATGCATTCATATTTTTGTGTTCACTTTATTCGTGTGTAAAGGGCTTGTATTTATTTGACAGCAGTTGGATAGGACTTACTCATTAGAATAATGTTAAATGCTAAATACAGCACTAGGTCTTTATATTTGCTATGCTGTCCTTGTCCATCTAGCAGTAAATAGTACCTAGGTGGTGGTTGATTGTTGTGGGAGTCATCCTGGGAAAGGAAAGGGCTGGTTTTTAAAATAAACTGAGGTAAGATAACAGCCCTTAAACTGTCAGTTCAACTGCAAATTTTTTCTTGTGAATGGGTTAAGTGAAGTTTCATTTATCAGTCCTGTTCCTTTTAAGAAAAATGGTATGTACAGTATATAGACAAGAGAAGTATACATTTGTGTTGTAGAAAGATGCATGTTTCTTTTCAACTAGCCAGCTGTATGCCACTGAGGCAGGGTGGCCCAAAAAGAAAAACAAACGTTTATCTTTTTAAATTTAGTAATATATACAGAAGAGAAGGTTACTAGCCCCTTGCTCCCAGCATTTTAGTCGCCTTTTACGACACGCATGGCTTATGGAGGAAGAATTCTGTTCCACTTCCCCATGGAGAAGAAAGATACATCTTTCTTTTTTTTCAACAAACCAGCCATATCCCACTGAAGCAGGGTGGCCCAAAAAGAAAAACAAAAATTTCTCCAACTTTAGTAATGTATACAGGATAAGGGGTTACTAGCCCCTTGCTCCTGGCATTTTAGTTGCCTCTTATGACACACATGGCTTACGGAGGGAGAATTCTGTTCCAGTTCCCCATGGAGATAAGAGGAAATAAACAAGAACTAGTAATAAAATAAAAGAAAACCCAGAGGGGTGTGTATATATGCTTGTACATGCATGTGTAGTATGACCTAAGTGTAAGTAGAAGTAACAAGACGTACCTGAAATCTTGCATGTTTACGAGACAGAAAAAAGACTCCACCAATCCTTTCTTTCAACACACCGGCTGTATCTCACCGAGGCGGGGTGGCCCAAAAGGAAAAACGAAAGCTTCTCCTTTTACACCCAGTAACATATACAGGAGAAGTGGCTACTAGCCCCTTGCTAGTGGCATTTTAGTTGCCTCTTACAACACGTATGGCTTACGGAGGAAGAATTCTGTTCCACTTCCCCATGGAGGTAAGAGGAAATAAACAAGAACAAGAACTAGTAAGAAAATAGAAGAAAACCCAGAGGGGTGTGGATATATATGCTTGTACATGTATGTGTAGTGCAACCTAAGTGTAAGTAGAAGTAGCAAGACGTACCTGAAATCTTGCATGTTTACGAGACAGAAAAAAGACTCCACCAATCCTTTCTTTCAACACACCGGCTGTATCTCACCGAGGCGGGGTGGCCCAAAAGGAAAAACGAAAGCTTCTCCTTTTACACCCAGTAACATATACAGGAGAAGTGGCTACTAGCCCCTTGCTAGTGGCATTTTAGTTGCCTCTTACAACACGTATGGCTTACGGAGGAAGAATTCTGTTCCACTTCCCCATGGAGGTAAGAGGAAATAAACAAGAACAAGAACTAGTAAGAAAATAGAAGAAAACCCAGAGGGGTGTGGATATATATGCTTGTACATGTATGTGTAGTGCAACCTAAGTGTAAGTAGAAGTAGCAAGACGTATCTGAAACCTTGCAAGTTTGAGACAGAAAAATGGACACCAGCAATCCTACCATCATGTAAAACAATTACAGGCCTTTGTTTTACACTCGCTTGGCAGGACGGTAGTACCTCCCTGGGCGGTTGCTGTCTACCAACCTACTACCTAGGAAGAAAGATACATATGGCAAGAAAATAGGGTGAAATATTAACAAAGCAGTTTCTTGCTGAAGGCATGTTTAGAAATCGGTATTAAGAGTATTATCGTAAATGCTTAAGATTCATGTGCATTTTGAGTAATGTAAAACAGTGACAGATGTTCTCCTTGTCCAAGATGGAGCAATCTTCTCTGTAGGCTTGTCTCTTGGCTATAATTTCCTCTTCAAGGGGGGCTCCTTGGCGTGGTGAAGAGGCTCTTGGTCTGAGGAATTAGCCCTGTCGGTCTTCTTCCTCAGACCGAACCTAATTACCCCCCATTCTCCCCTCCCCTATCCCATCCTCCCCATCCTCCCCTTTTTCCATTCCTCCTCCTCCTCCTCACCCCTCCCTTTTGCCCTTCCTCTTTTTAGCCTTCGTGATTTCTCCCACAGGCGTGCTAGTTCCTAGGTAGGGGAAAGGACACCGGGGTCGATCCCATTCCGTTGAGGTTTCTTGGCGGTGGCGTAGTTGCCGTGGAATCTGGATTGCCTGGGATGTCCCGATCCCTCTCGGTACCCCGGAGTAGCTTTGGGTGTCTTTTGGGCGACGGGTGTATCTCGGGAAGCCACCTTTCGGATTCCGGGGGTGGTGGCTGAAGGAGGAAAATGCTTTGGGGCGGATATCCGGGCCCCCCTCTCTTTTGTCCACCGAGGTAGCTCGGCAGATGTGAGGTTGCTATCCCGGATTGCTGGTTTACTGGCATGAGGGTAGGGTATGGCACGGGTTCCATGCTGCATCTGCGCTACTAGCGGTTGTCGAGTCCTCTTGGGCCGGAGGGAGATTTCCGCCCTTTCTTTCCCTCCTGGGAACTATTCCTCCCGCTCCCCCCCTTTTTTTATTCTTTTTTTTGTTTTTATTTTCTTTTCTTCTTTTTTTTTTTTTCTTAAAAACAAAAAGCAAAGGAGTAACCTAACCATGGCAGCCCTAGTCCATGAAACCACAAACCCCCGGCCCCTTCTTGATACCGCACCCCCATTCTGACCCTGCCTTGTGTTTAGACCACCTTCGGACACTCCTGAGCCCCTGTACCTCTTCTGGTGCTGTTTCCCCTCACCCGCTTCAGGTACCGGGGCTTCGACTGACTCCTTCGATTTGTCTGAACTCCGCTCTCCTTTTGACTATGCTTCCGGTTTCCCTCCCTCTAGGGTACGGCAATTTTCGAATCGCCCACCCCATTTCATGCCGGACCAACTCCGGGTCCTACCCTAAACGCCAACGTCAATCTCCTGATGAGGCCCGTCGTTACCTTCCCATTCTACTCCGGAAACGACCGACACGTCAAGCACTCCCTCTCCACGCTCAGTTTCGGACCACACAATGGACTAAATTCTTTACTTTAAGACCAACTTCTTCTTCTGCCTACCTTTCTGACCATAGTATTGCCAAAGCGCTCCGCGTCATGTTGGCAGAGATATTTCATTTCACCTCTCAAGAGCGGTACGCGCATCGTCACTGTCCAGAATGCTACCCAAGCTCATGATCTTTCTCTCCTTTCGAATATCGATACTAACTCCTATCCTATTGAAAAACATCTTTCTCTCAATTCTTGTAGTGGTACTGTCCATTCTGCCCATACCATAGTCCAACAGAATTTCCAGTCATGTGGCAATGACTTTTTTGAACGCGGGAACTCCGGGATCTCCCAATCCTCAAAGTAGACACTTATGTCCTTCCTGCCCCGGGGCGGAGACTTTACCCTTGCAATGGGGCTCGTTTAATTTTTGACAGCCGAGAACTCCCGTCCTCTGTATATGTCGCGGGACATGGGTTACAAGTTCGAAAGGGGGATACCTACACCGCAACAATGTAGAAATTGCTGGCGTTTTGGTCACCCAGCGAAATATTGCAGATCTATGGCCGAATGCCCATTCTGTGGTGCCGACAACCATTCTAATACATCTTGCAGTCAACCTCCATCTTGCCTTAATTGTAATGAAGCCACCCTTCGTACTCCCGCCGTTGCCAGGTCTACTTAAATGAACGTGAAAATCCGTTGCCTCAAAGAGGCAGAAGGTCTCCCTTATGCTATGGCGGGTTACTCATCTCTCCGCCTCCAAGGGAGACTAACCCCGTGTTTCTTATTCTCGTGTTTCCAAAAAAATCCCCCACTTCTGGGGTCCCATTTTCTGCAGCCTCCTCTGTTGTTACCCCTCCCAAGCCATTACGGCATCTAATCCTTTGCTGTCCTTGGCTCTGACGTCCCGACTACAACCAGTCTGTTCTCACATCTTCGCGTCCTTCCTCACAAGCCCCAGTATCGACAAACCTCGTACGACACCTAATACCAATCGCCCCTCTACTCAGAATTTCCCAAAAAATCCACATTGCTCAAATCTTCTTTGCCCCTTCCTTCCTTCTTCCACCTCCACACGTTACCCTTTCCAGTCTCTGTACCTAGTTCTTCCCCTCTCTCTGGCTCTATTACAAGTGTGGAGATTCACCCTCCTCCTCGTACTATGCCTTCCACCCCCGTCCCCTCCCAAGTTCTCCCCTTTCTGTCACCTCCCAGGTTTCTCTACCTCTTCTGTCCCCCCCCCACACTTCATCTCCAGTCCCTTACATTTTTCCCCTCCCCCTCTACTTTGGTACAGTCCATACTGTCCCAATCTTTACTCACCCTCCTCCTCCTATCTCCAATATGGTTTCCCATACATCTTTGAATTCAAAAACACTTGAAGCCATTTCAGAATATATTGCAGAGACTAAACCTTCAATGGACACTGATTAAACTTCCTGTTCCTTCTCTTCCCTCTCCTCCATCTCACAACCCCATTCTTCGCAACGCTCCGTTCCTTCGCTACTTGAACATCTTCCAATGCCACCACACGTTGACTTTTCTAACCCCTCTAGTCCGTAGGTGCCTTTACCTACAGATTCCTGATATTTTCCTTCATCGCCAATCATGGCCTATTTACAGTGGAATATCCGGGGCCCTCGGGGGTAATGGGGGTGAGCTTCAGATGTTGCTTTCCAGGTTTTCCCCTGTTGGTGCTTGCTTACAAGAACCAAAATTACACTCGGCTGTTTTCCAACCTATCTCAGGCTATAATTTATTGTATTCTTCGGATCCTTTCTCAGATGGGACCTTAATGAAAGTGCCCTTCTTTACGCAATGATATTCCGTACTGTCACTATTTGTCCATACCCTCGCTGCATTACACTGCAGCCCGTATCCACTTGAATAAGTGGTTTACAATATGTTCTTTATATCTCTCTCCTTCTCGAGCATTTTCTATCCCAGACTTTCCTTTCTTGTTTCATCCTTCCACCACCACTTCTGTACTTGGTGATTTTAATGCCCACCATTTCCTCTGGGGGGGTCTCATTGTGACTCCACGTGGCATTCAGTTGGAGGCTTTTTTTGCCTCTCACCCCCTCCATGTTTTAAATAGGGGTACCCCCCACCCATTTTGATCCTCGACTCATACTCTCTCTTGCATCGATCTATCATCTGCTCTTCCTCCACAGCACTAGACTTCACCTGGTCTGTTCTACCAGACTTACATGACAGCGATCATTTTCCGATCATTCTTACTTCTCCTTCCTATTCACCACCTTCCCGACCCTCGCTGGCAATTTGATCGGGCAAATTGGGATCTTTACTCACACCTCACTGCTTTTAGTGAGGTTCCTTTTATCACCCCCATTGATGAGCTCCTACACATCTTCCGACATCAGTTTATACCGCAGCTTCTCATTCTATACCCCACACCTCAGGCAGGCATTCTCAGAAGTGCGTGCCTTGGTGGTCTCCTGCTTGTGCTCGTGCAGTACGTTGAAACGTGCTGCATGGGGGAGGGACCCCGGGCCCAATAGAACCGCTGAGAGACTTGTTGATTTTAAGCAGAAGCGTGCGATCGCTCGCCGTGTCATCCGTGAAGCTAAACGCACTTGTTGGCGAGACTATGTTTCCACCATCACCTCTGCTTCTTTCTATGAGTGCAGTCTGGAAAAAGTGAGGAAATTGAGTGGTAAATACTCTCCTGACCCGGCTCCTGTTCTACGGGTTTACTGGTGTTGATATAGCAAACCCTCTCGACGTTGCCCATTGAACTTGGCACACATCTGGTCCGTATTTCCCCGAGGGCTCCATCTATGCCCCCCGTTTCTTTCCTCAAAGTCTGCCAGAGAGTTAGTACCCTTGGACTTTTCTTCCCCTCGGAGAAGAACTTTTAATGTGCCTTTTTTCACTTCAAGAACTGGAGGCAACGCTCTCAGCTTGCCGATCATCGGCAGCTGGGCCTGTGACATTCATATTCGTATGTTACAACATTTACATCGGTCAGCCCTTTTAGTCCTCTTACACCTCTTCAATCTTATTTGGGCCAAGGAGTTCTTCCCCAGCTGTGGAAATCTGCCATTGTTCTCCCTTTCCGCAAACCGGGTACTACAGGACATGATGCCTCCCACTATCGCCCCATCGCTCTTACAAGTGCAGTTTGCAAAGTGATGGAACGCCTCGTAAATTCGACGTTTAATGTGGTATTTTAAGGGCTCACAACAGTCTCTCCGCTAGTCAATATGGCTTTTCGTAAGGGTCGTTCTACCATAGACCCTACTACGCTTGGATACGTAGTTCGTAATGCCTTTGCGAATAATCACCCCAGTTATTGCCAATATTTTTGACCTTGAGAAGGATATGACACAACTGGGGGTATAAAAATTTTGGCCAGGCCCATTCCTTTGCCTCCGATGCAATCACCTCTTCTTAAGAACTTTTTAAACTGACAGGGCATTCCGTGTTCGAGTCAATAAAGTTCTTTCCCCGGACTTCGTCCAAATGAAGGTGTCCCTCAGGGATGGTGGGTTTTAAGCAACACTTTTTCTCCTTTCTATAAATGATTTGGGCCCCTGTTTTTTCCACCAATATTTGGTCTCACCTATGTTGATGACTTCGCTATTGCTTGTGAGGCGCTGACTGTCAAACCCTTTTTGCAGTTTTCTCCAGCATTGCGGTCGACCGTGTTTCCCCTTGGCCACACACATGGTTTAAATTTTCAAGTACCAAAACTCCCAAAATTTTTTACTAACGCTTGTTATCTCCGATCATCCTTGTTCTCTATGCTTCCCGTACCCCGAACGTGATACATCAGGTTTCTAGGCCTTCTCTTTGACCGTCGGTTAACCTGGAACCTCACATTACCTCTCTGAAGGAACTTGTCCAAACCGGCTAAACCTTCTTAAAACCTTTCTCATCTTTCCTGGGGCTGATCGTCGAATCTGCTTTTCCTTACATTCAGCCCTCGTTTATTCGAAACTCGATTATGGTGACCAGATTATTCCGCGGCCTCTCCGTACTCTCTCTAAACCTTACTCTATCCTCAAAACCCAAAGGGTTACCTTTGGCCTTGGGCATTTTCGCTCTTCCCTGTTGAGAAACCTCTATACAGAAGCAAATGTCCATCCTTGTCCCGATCGCCGTGATGCCATTCCTTCGTTACTTTGTTCGCCTCACATCTACACTCCTCCCCTTTAATTTGAATGGTCACCGATATTAGTAGACATTCTTTATTCATTCGCCGCCCCCTGTTTCTCTCCTCCTTTTCTCTTCCTCGCTCTTTTCACTCTGTCTTCCCTTCAGTTACCACCTTATTGTTCATGTAGCATCTCACTTTCCCTACCCCCTGGGAAGTTTTCCCGCTGTTTCGGGTCTTTCTTTCACTTTCCCTTGCTCAAACTCAACTGCCTACGTGGCTTCCCGCTCTTTTTCTTGATCACTTCCACTTCATTTCATGCCACCGCTTGTACACGATGCTCTTAATTTTTCAGACGGCGTCGGATTCGCAGCATGTTTCCCGGACAGCGTCTTACAGGGCTTTACTATCTTCAGCTTAGCATTTTTAAGCTGAACTGTATTCCATTCTTTCAGCATTATTCGTACTCCATCTAGCCTGTGATCATTTTGAGTCTCGATTCCAGTGCTCTACAGGGTATACGAAAATTTTATACATCTCATCCCCTAGTTCTCCGTATCCAACTTGGCTACGCCAATCTCTACCAAACATAAGATATTGTTTTTGTTGGGTCCCTGGTCATTTTCGACTACAGGGCAATGAAAAGGCAGCACGCTGCGCGGTCAGCAGTATATGACCTACCAATTTCTATCGAGGTGTTCCATTTTTAACTATTTGCTGCAATAGCTACCCACCTCGCACCCGTTGGCAACAAGTTGGCAACTTGCCGTAACAAACTTCATTCATTAACCCAGCATAGGTTCCCGGCCGTCTTTTTGTCATCAGTGCCGATGGAGACCCACTCTCTCCGCCTTCGCATTGGGCCCCACTCTCTTCCATGGTTCTCCCTGGGAAGCACCTGTTCCTCTCTGTGAGCGTGTCCAAGTTCCAGTACGATAGCCATTCTGTTAGAAAATGCCCCTCCTATCAACGAGCCAGCAGATTACCTCCAACTCGTCTTCGTTCCCTACTCTCTTTTAAACCCTTTCCCCTTCTTCTGATGGACCCTCCTTTAATCCTGACTCTCTCATTGACTTCCTTGACAAAACGAAAAAACCCCCGATTTACTCACTACAAACTCTGATGATACTTTTCACACTCCCCTCAGCCCTTTCTGGTTCAGTCTCTTGCTGCCCTTTACCCTTTCACCATCCACTGCCCCGCTGTTATCCGTAACCTGTTGCTCATCCATCTCCCTTTTGCCACCTGATGCCCTCGCTTCCTTCCTGCCCTGCAGCGCTGTATAGTCCTTGTGGCTTAGCGCTTCTTTTTGATTATAATAATAATAATTGGCTATAATTTATCAGCACGTATATTTCATGGGCATTTCATATTGATTGTGCATTTCATTTTATTTTAGATTCTGAATGTGTACATGATAAAATAAAAATTTTATAATTTCTGTCAAAAATAATTTGATGACAGAGTGATTGAGAAAAGGTATCTTGACAATGGACAAGTGATGCCTCCTCCCAAGTCTTTCAAGCAGAGTAACTTCACATCTCACAGGAGAATCATCTGGGACATAACAGATGCACTGGAGAAAGAAATTAACAGAGCAGTATTGTTCAATCAAAAGGTAAGATCTTGTGTTGCATAAGAACTTAACTTGCATACTGGGCCTGAATACGAGGATGCTAAGGGATAATAAAAACTAGACTTTTTGAAGCATTGAAAGATGAACATATTTTATATATAATTAAAATTAATTTTTTCTTTTATTGTCACAGTGATCCACTTTCACCAAGGTAGGATGTACCCAAAGAAGGAAACATCCATCTCATCATTCATTCAGTAGCTGTCTTGCTATAAGTGAACATACATTACAAATCAAATGTGGAGCCATTGTAATTCCTAGTTCCTGAACTCTAGAATTTAAAATTTTTTAAATTACAGTGGTATCTCAGGATACGAACTTAATTCGTTCCAGAAGGCTGTTCGAGTGCCGATACCGAACGAAATTGTTTCCATAAGGAATAAGTAAATTAGATTAATCCGTTTCATACCCCCAAAAATACACTTACAAAAGCACTTACATAAATGCACTTACGTAATTGTTCAAGTTTTGAGCCGTTCATATCCGAGGTGCCACTGTATTTGGTTTAAATCGTTTTAAAAAATCTTGATGCAGTAAAGGACAAAATTAAATACAGTAATGTTGAATAAATATTCATGAATTTGAATGTCTTACAAATCTTTATATGGAATAAAGGGCAAAATTAATTTTTTTTTGAAAATTTGATAACTTATTACTAATTTAAGTAGCCAAAATGACAAGCATTTGCTGTAGGTCTGGGAAGGTCATTGGCCACCTATGCAAATTTACAATTTAGAAAATAAATATGTACACTATCACAGTTAACCCAGTCAGGTCCAGACCCTTGATCTGAAACTTGTCCAAAGGTCCAAGAATTTTCAAAAAACTTCTAATTTTTTCTTAGAAGTGGGAGGGGACTCTTTTCTGAAGATAATAAAACAAAAGTAAAAAAATTTGATGGAGGGTGGGGGGAGGAGGAAAGAGGAGGGGATTGGGGGAATGATGAAGTAAAGGGGGTGATAAAAGAGAAAAAGGTAGCTTACGAGAGGTTTTTTACAAAGCAGAAGTGTTATAAGAAGAGCAGAGTATATGGAGAGTAAAAGAAAGGTGAAGAGAGTGGTGAAGAGAGTGCAAAAGGAGAGCAGAGAAAGAGTGGGAGAGGGCACTGTCAAGAAATTTTAATGAAAATAAGAAAAAATTTTGGAGTGAGTTAAAAACAAGTTAAGAAAGCCTAGGGAAAGTATGGATTTGTCCGTTAAAAACAGAGTAGGGGAGTTAGTAGTGGGAGAGGGAGGTATTAGGTAGATGGCGAGAATATTTGAGGAACTTTTTAAATGTTGAGGAAGAAAGGGAGGTGTAATTTCATGCACTGGGCCCGGGAGGAATACCATCTTTTAGGGGTGAAGAAGAGCAGAATGTAAGTGTGGTGGAGGTACGTGAGGCATTACGTAGAATGAAAGGGGGTAATTTAGCACAAGAAGGCTGGTAGGCCTACAAACTAAAGAAAAGGGTCTGCATGGTCAGTGTGCCATTAAACAAAAAAATCTGGGTGCCCGCATGGTATTTGTGGGGAAGCCGCCGTCAGTCCTTTGTTCGCCATGCCTGGCAGCAAGGAAGCTCTCACTCCCCAGCAAATTCTGACTATCCTCTTCCAAGTTAAGTTCTAATGCTGATGGAAGTGGATCTGAAGAGGAATTCTATGGTTTTGAACCATATGGTACAGTGGTACCATATGGGACAGGGACCCAATGGAAAAAAAGTTTGACTGACTTTTTTGGGTTTTTCCTAGGTTCCCACACTATGCTGCAATGTATGATAATCTACGTAACTGTATTTGTGTATACCTGAATAAAAAATTTCGACCCCACATGCGCTCGAGTAAGTTTATTCAGGCTTTGGACATGCAGCATGTCCAAGCCCCTTGCACACAAAACCTCTTTTGCCACCTCCCTTCATCCTTTCCTAGAACGGCCACTACCCCTCCCCTCCACTACAGATTTATTTGCCCTTCAAGACATCCTATTTTGCTCCATTCTCTCTAAATAACCAAACCCCCTTAACAACAACCCCCTTCAGTCTTCTGACTAATACATTTAGTAACTCCATACTACCATACCCTTTTTTTCCCGTACAGCTTACTAAAAATATAAAAATATGTACAGTGGCACCTCGAGTTATGAACTTAATTCGTTCAGAAGGGTGTTTGAGTGCCAATACCGAACAAATTTGTTCCCATAAGGAATAATGTAAATTAGATTATCCGTTTCAGCCCCCA